TCTTTTATATTAATGTTTCAATTTACTTAAAATTTATGAACATTTTACACTTTATCTGTTATTACCTTTTATATTTTCATTTTCTCATATATACCAATAAGACATCAATTGCAAATAGAAGCAGCAATACATACGCAATAGCAGCGACGACGAATGATGATTAATCGAAATGTCGATCGATAATTGCTCCTCGATCGCGATGACGTCAGTAATAATTGTCGATCACAATTTCTATATATAAATATTTCTATTATATAAATAATATAATAATAATAGATGTTAATCACATAGATGTTTCGTTAATCAAGTCTATTCTTTAAGTATATTTCTTTTTAATTAAACTTGCACTATTTTTATCTTTTCTTTTTTGCTCTTCACGTTTATGAAATTGATAATTGTTATTTTTTTTTGTTGCAATAGGCTAGTTTCTCTATTTAATCTTATCAGCCGATTAAATTTACGAATTGCCAATTGCAAAACTTCAAAGTCATTATTTCTAACTTAATTTCTTGACAATGCAGAAGGACAAGTGGCAATTGAAAGAAATATATATTCATGCGGCAATAATAATATTATACAGTGCTTTATAACTGTCAAGAAATTAGGTTAGAGATAGTCACTTTTAACTTTTGCAGTTGGTAATTCATAAATTTAATCAGTTAAGTTAATCAGAAATGAAATTGATCCATTATAATACAAAATGACAGTTATCACTGTACTGTAACTGATTGACACTAATTTCTAAATTTTATTTTATACACTCTGTATTATCTTTGCTTTTTTATATGAATACATCCTTAATATTTTTTTTGTCATATAACAAATTTTAAACATACTGATTAAATAATGAAATTTTAAGTCCCCAAAATATTTTTAAAAACTACACTTTATCAAGCTATGTTATCAGCTAATCGAATACATACAATTCTTTTAAACGTGCGATTGGCTATAAGATAGTAAAGTTTCCAAGTCTCCATAAATTCTCTATATTGTGCAACCAATCAAATACGCTCACGCGATTTGTCATCCGACAAATGAACCACTAGCTTCAAACCGTGATAAAGGGTCTCTAATACGAATTGCAAATGATATAAATTGCAAAGTGTTTGAAATACACATAAAATGCAGGAGGAGTTGTGACGTGACGTGTACGCCTGCGCGACGCGTAACCTCCTGTCAACGTCGTCGTCGTCCCCGACGTCGCCGTCGTCGGCTCGGCTCGGCTGCCGAGCCTCGGCAGCGTTCGGTACCGCTCGACTCTCACGGGAGCCAGAGCCGGTGATCGCCCAGGCTCGGCCATCGACGGCTACCGAGTGCGAGAGCGAGCCCGGAGTGGTGCGATCGTCGTCAAGCAGGGGAGGAAAGATGGCTGCCGCGGCGAACATTGCGCCGGAGAATCAGTATTTCTACGAGGATGTCGTCTATCGCGTGGACAAACGGGGTAACGTTGTCTTCGGGATCGTCATGGAGAATGACGACCTGGACATGTCCGAGGAGAACAGCGACAGCGAGGAGAGCCTCCTGAAGCGCAAAAAGGGCGAGATTCGAATGATCTGGCATCCGTCCGGTGTCGAGGAGTTGGTCAACTGTAAAAAGGTATCATGCAATCGTACGGATCGATCCAACAACGATCGTCAATATCTCGATGCGTCCTGACATTACACGGATCTATTTTTATATATAACTTGTCAGCATGCTTTTGATGTTTTTGTATACTTGTCATTCGTTTGCTTCTGGTTTACATTGAAATTTTAAATTAACGATGTTTACATTAAGTTGTGCATGAAGATTTTTTCATGGTGTCTTCCAGGTTCATTTGGCTGATAGAACACTCATGCCTGGAGATGTAGTACGTAGAATGATCAAGGGAAAAGACACACAAAGAGGCTACTGCAGAGATATAGAGTTGACAGCCTGTGTACAAGTCATTGGTACCAAACAGGTTCTTACTAATATCAAGAGTGAAGATCTGATTCCCTTGCAGGTATACTGAGAGCTTTGTGATAGGTAATCATATATTATTTGTATACTGAAACAAGCAGTTATTGTTTATAGGAATTCGAGACAGATATGGCAGTTTGCATGGATTCCTGGGTTGGTGGTATAAGAATGACACACTTCAAATTATGGCTAGTTACACCAGATGGATCTCACTGTGTCATAAACGAGATGGATTCCTGTGTATTGGGACAATTGGAAGAGACTCGTGATAATGTAAGATCAAATAAATTTTATATATTCCATTGTTATATATACATTATTCTGTGATACAAATAATGAATTCATTTTTAGGACAATGATTTTCCACACTCAAACGAGTTTTATCCTGGCCAAAGTCTATGGGGACCGGTTCACTGTCTAGAAGAAGCACAATGGATTCAATGCACAAAGGAGATGAAAGCAAAGAGGAAATTGAAGCCACAGAAAATAACCAAAGTGATCGTGGAAAAAGTGGAGACTGATTGGGTAGGCGTCCATTGGCAGTGCCGGGCATTCTCAAAAGATGGTGCCTGGTCCGATCAGGCTCAGCCGAAGTTTGTGGTTGAAGGTGAAGATCTGAAGAAGCTAAAATTGTTAAATGTGTTCGAACCTTCAACGGTACAGGTTGGCAATCGTAATTTCTACATCATTAAAGGCAACGAAAATGTTATTACTCGTGAGCAGTGGCTGAAACAGCAAAGGGATATTTATCAAGTTCCTAAGCAAAGTCCAAAAAAGACGCGTGTGAAAATGGCAGTGACAAAGTTGCTAGAAGACAAGAAAGAGCAGAAAAAGGATAAATCATGTGATCAGCGATCGGACGAAAACAATCAAAATAATGGCGTTCCTTCGCATGATACTACAAGCAGTAACACTTTGATGCCACCGCCTCAAAATCAACATCCTGAAAGCTCGGATGAATGGGACACCGAGGATACTACGGGTTCGCAAAGTGATACTACTTCGGTAATCACTAGTTTTTTCTTCCGTTTTCCTTTATTTGATAAAGAGAAAAAAATTAAAGATATAGAAATATGTACGCTTTGTAGATCTCTAGCGGCTGTTCCAGCATGTTATCAATAGGAAAGAAAAAGAAAGGTCCTGCATTGATGACGAAAGTGCTGAAGAAAAAAAAGTTACGAAAAGCAAAAAAGAAAGTACCACCTGTCCCATTAATTCCTGGGACTAAGATAGTCGTAGAAACATTGTCCACTAATACGAAAGCTAATGTGGTGTGGCAAGACGGCTCGGTAGAATTTGGTATTTAATATTAATTATATATTTATTAGAAAGAATTGCATATCCTTTAAAATGCACTTGTTTTAGAGTATTTTAAATATGTAAGAGTAGACTGTTTTATTGTTTTAAATTTGATATGATTTATTTATCATGTTAATAGATATATTATTGAGAGACAAACAGTTTTAATTATTGAAAAATTTTACTGAATTTTTACTGAAAAAAATTGTATAATTATATTAAGCTATCTATTTCTTTCTAGGCATACCGTCAACGCAATTATATCCGATTCATCATCTCGATGACAAGGAGTTTTTCCCAGGTGATTTTGTTGTAGATCAAAAGGAAGAATCTAGAATGTATGGCGTTGTACAAAGTGTTGATCATCAAGGTCGTACTGCCAAGATAAAGTGGTTCCGAACATATACTTCCAGTCAAAATCCAGAGTAAGTATTAGCCCTAGTATTTTTTCATGTGTTATTTTAAAATTGTATAATAGTTTTATTTATTCAAATTTTTCCATTAGCGCGTGTAACGTTACGTAAATATTAATTACATAATAATAAAAAAATGAAATATGAAAATTAATTTTCTTTAAGTCTCAGGAACTTATAATCTAGACGCAATTTAAATTATTACAAATAAAAAGCAAAAGAAATGAAATTTTAAAAAAATTATTAATTTTTGCCTAGACCGATCTTTCTGGAGGAGCGCGAAGTGAGTGTTTACGACTTGAAAGATCATCCAGATTTTCAATATAGACCAGGAACCTTGGTGATTCGGATAGCAAATTTTGAGGGTGAAGATGCTGGATGTACAGCTGGTCAAGTATTAGATAATTATCCAGAGGGCCGAGTAAAAGTATGGTGGGTTGACGGTCACATTAGCATGTGTTGGCCACAGGATCTATACAAAGTTGGCGAATACGATAGCGATGAAGGGGAACTATGGGACGATGTATCATCTGACTCATCATGGGAAACAGAACTAGAAGATTGCTTCATTGCTGATAACGATGGTACCGAGCAGACGGAATTAGATAATATAAAACCGAAATTAGCAGCACACATTGAGAAGGCCAGGATCGCAATGTCGAGATTGGAAGAAATTTTCACGCAAAACCCATCCTTGCAAACAACTGAGGTGATGAGGAAACTTCTCGAGGTCTACAAAGATTGCCGTTACATGGATAAACTGATGGGCACCGCATTCTTTCACGAGTGCCACTTTCAAGGACTTCTCGAACGGGTGAGAGAACGCGGCAGAGCAAACGTTGCACAGCGCATGGCGGATCAAGTCACGAGACTCTTTACGCCTAAATCTGAGTATCCGGAAGAGTCGATAGATAAAGATAATTTGAAGAATTCGAGCAGCAGCGACGATCCATGTACACTTAGTGTAATGAAGAAACAAACAGCTACAATTATCAACGAATCAGAGAATGACAATACTTCTAATATCGAAAGCAATGTCGAAAAACAGAATAGCGAGGAGACAGTTGATCGATTATTCATATGCCCCAATCCCAATCCCGAAGATTCCGGATTATATTCGGCAGAAAATTCGAAGAAGGAATCAGGCTCGAGCGAATCCAGCGGAGAATTTCTCATAAGCGAAGATGTTAATAACGTGCCGGAGTGTTCGTCTATGATAAATGGTATGACTACGCCCGAGAAGACCGAAGCGAACAAAGTGAAAAAAGTGCCGACGAGTCTAGCGACTACTCAAAGTATTGGAACGTCACAAGTATGCGTCAAACTTTGTAATCTGATAAAAGCGCAACTCGTATTAGCGCATGCCGAAGTGTCAAAGAGGTTCGGTTTGGGAAAGATGTCACTATCTGACGCGGAGAAGACCTCATCTCCGCGGAAAAAGCAGAAGGACAAAGAGGAAGAACGAATAGAAGTGATAGCGGATCCGTCCGAGTGTTCTATCGATATTCCGCCGACAGTTTATACCGAAGGCGAAGGCTTCTCCATTGAGGAGACCGCGCCGGACAGCCACAAATTCAAATTGACCATGTTCCAACCCACCGAATTGACCAATTTCTTCCGGACGGTCTCGAAGGAATTGAAATTACTGAAGAGCTCACTTCCACCAGGTGTCTGGGTGAAAGGATTCGAGGACCGTATAGATCTGTACTCTGTGATGCTCCGTGGTCCCGAGAAGACGCCCTATGAAGACGGTCTCTTTCTTTTTGACTTTCAGTTGTCCGCCGACTATCCGGCCGCGCCTCCTCTCTGCCACTATATCTCCTATTGCAGCGATCGGCTGAATCCCAATCTTTACGAAGACGGAAAGGTGTGCGTGAGTTTGCTGGGCACCTGGTCCGGTCGTGGTACGGAGATGTGGACAAGCTCATCAACTCTGTTGCAAGTAATAGTATCGATACAGGGTCTGATTCTCGTAAGCGAACCGTACTTTAATGAGGCTGGCTTTGAAAAGCAAAAAGGCTCGCAGCAAGGACGCGAGAATTCAAGGATGTACAATGAGATGGTGGTGCTGAAGCTGGTGCAAGCCCAAACCAAACTGTTGCTACATCCACCACCTGTATTCAAGGATATAATTATTGCGCATTTCAAAAAGCACGCTGAGAAGTTACTTCAAAGACTAGAACTGTGGATGGAGATATCTGAGCAGCACAATAATCAACATCCGCTATCTCCAGTTACTCCCACCACGTTTAAAGAGATTGCCGATGTTGGTATGTAACATACTTTTTTTCTATAATACTTTTTATAGAATTTAAATATTCATTTTCAGACGAAAAAGTATTGCCTGAATTCCCGCTCATCCCAGCGTCTCGAGGTTTCTGCATAACTCTTCACAAAACTCTGGCAACATTTAGAGAAGTGCTCATTAAAGAAAATATAATACAGAGGCCGAGTGAATGGCAGGACAATGAAAACACCATGGAGTTAACGAACAATACGACAAATCAGTGCCAAGAACCGTCTAAATCTGTTGACAGTAAAGCAGCAGAATGTAACGGGAGTAGTAGCAATAGCAGCAGCAATACGCAAGAAAATAGCAAGAAGCTGATTTTAAATGGCAATCAATTCATTAAGGAAGCAATGTCATCTTCCGCAACGAATAGTTTCGCCGCGGTGCCGAGCGAAGCGAAAAAGATTACTTCGAGCCAAAACACCAGCTAGCCACAAGGTAAAAATAAATATAAGTCGAAACGCTTAGTCCGTTTAAATTATACGACTATTCGGTAATAAAAGGTATATAAATATATTTATTGGAATGTATATATATATGTATACAGGAATATATATATATATTCTCCAATAACTTATTGCATACGGAATTTTTTTTAATCATACATACACATGTACACACTTGCGAGATGTATCTACTGATGATATTTAATAACGATGCGATACGCCCTAAAAAAAATTCCACAGTTGCTCTACAATTAGAAGAATGTTTCGAGAATAATCACGAATAGCGACACTTAAAAGCGCGATTATAAATGCAACTGCAAATAGAGCGTGCGCACGCACGCACGCACATATACACGACACACGCGCGCGCACATATACACACACACACACACACACACAATTTCGTATACTATCTAGAACGAACTGTAAAATTGTCACGTTAATATTCGGCATCGACGTAAAAAGAGAAAAAAAGTTACCTATGTAATACCGCTCTCGCATTTAGTTCTGTACTTTTGAAGCAAAGATATTGCGTATTGTTTGTGACAAATAAGGAGGTAGCTTGAATCTCAATTTAGCGAACAAAAAATATATAAATATATATATATATGTAGCGTGGAGATATGAATGAAATTTACAATTCTGTAAAAAAAAAGAGAAAAGATATGGCGGAGGATAAAGACCAGTAGCAATATGCTGAAATAAAGAAAAAATGCAATAGGATTTCAAAGGGTAATAATAATATATTAATTCTGCGCAGCGCATTTTCACGACTGCACCTTCAATGATGATCATTATCATATAAATAGGACAGTTATACCTGTTAAGGTATGTCCTGAAGAGTTATTATGCCATCCAAGTATTACGAATATTCTCAAGTGAAGCTATGAAACAACTTTAATTGCAGGCATATAAGGCATAGCTTAGAAAACATTCATATCTAGATGAAATCTCCGCGATAGCTATGTCCGTTGTTATGAATTTTCTTAGTATAGTTTGTAAAGCATAGAAATTTAGAAAGAAATTATCTTTTATCTTCCTTTGTCGAGATTCTCCATACATTCGTCGGAGATGGACTCTCCTTTCATTCCTGTTATTTTTCGAAGACCTGATCTGAGTACATTACTTAAGTATGTCGATAATAATAAAAATCATTATTATTACTTAATATGTTGATAAGGTGCACTGTAAATGGTATACATATATCTATACAGTATTATTTATTTATTTCATTTGGTGATTTATGCGTAATATATTGGGCAAGAAAGTTGTTTCCTGCAAAAATATGTTTGTTATAATGCACATATAAACAGATAGGAGAATAAAAAAGAATGGGAAAGAAAGTCCCAAATAGATTCAGTTTAGTCATAGTGCAAGAGTGATAAATATTTGTCAAGAATTACTTTCCTTTTTATCTCTTTCTTTTCTTCTTATAATCTTTTAGATACAGAAAAAAACGTGTACTCGAATTGATCGCAAAAATTCTCAAAACCTTTCAATTTCCTACATGTTTTTGCTTGTGAAAGTTAGAGAGATGAAAGATAGAAAGGAACGTTCTTCGAGAAGTTTACGGTGCTGACGAATAAATTATTAGAAAAGACACAGAGAGATGTCTTTGGTCCTTGTTATGACCTGTAAATGAATATATACTAATAGGGGCGGAAAAAAGGCGCGTAGTCGCCAAAACGTGAAACGGAGTTTGGAATGCCTTGTATACGTGCCAGTTATATTTATATTGATTACAATTATATGTCCACGAGTCGCATTCGGAATCTTATTTCACGTCGGACGAGAAAAAAAAAAGAAAGAGAAACTTGTGAGAGAAAAGGGACCGCTTGAATGTGCGAATCATTACGATTGTGTAGATCGATGCTAACTAAAGCGTAAAACATTCACGCAAAAAAAACAGGATTCTAGTCTAATATAAAGTGCATGCACGGGCGGATTTTTATTTAATTTTATTTAATTTCTTTATTTTTTAATTTATTCGAGATTGTGTTCTTCCCGCCCCCCCTCTCTCCCCTATCGCTCTTTCGTTCATTGTCATTTGTCATGTGAAGTCCGCGTATATTATTTTTCCAAATTCATATTCAAGAGTGGTTTCTTCAGCGGAATTATCATTTTACTTGTAAAATTCAGAAGGCACACACTTGTTGTAAGCTCAACTCTTGTTATTTCATCGTACTCTGTATCGATCGTAATTGCAATAATTCTGTAATAATTTGCTACAGATGTAACTCAGTTTCCTTAATTTGGATGAATAAAGATCATTATAGGATGAACGGATTATGAAATGTCCTGTATTCTTTATCAGATGTTAACATTGTGTCCTTATAAATTTCCTTAATCCCACTGCCTCATTTTCACTTCGATACACATACAATAATTCAAGCACCGCGAAAGAACACACCTTAATCACATCTATTACATATACCGATCTAAAATTATAAATGATAAAATTGTTCGAAAATTTTCATTCTTTTAGAGAAATTATTGATTAACATAAAGATTATTAATTTTTATATAAATCGATTAATATATTAATGAATGTAATAATGAATGTAATAGATTGATAGTCTCAATCTGAGATTATTGTACTGACATTTTTTATGTAGGAACAGAAATATCAGTATGAAAGTATATCTCATTATCTTGAAATAGATAAGCTGTACACTCAGTTATCTCTTATCAAAGGTGTGATTCAGTACGCGACAGACATTGCACAGTTAACTACGATTCTGTGCTTTCGTTTTTCATTCATCGGTTTTTTTATAAGTGCAGAGAAATGTGTTCGAAAAAGTTTGTGTGCTATTTAACTATCGGTTTACGTAAGTAAAACTTATTTTAAACTTGATTTTAATACGCAAGAAGAAAAGTGTATTGATAAATCAATAGTCGTTGATAAGAGCAAAGGTGTTTCGTGTTATTGCGCCATGAAAACGATCGCTGATCGATTAAAAGTAATTATTAAATTTTATCGGGATGACAATTATTATATAAACAAGAATTTAATTATTTTTTATCAAACGTAATACAATAAATGTTGTAATCACATTATTTTCACACCTTTGTCAATAAATTATAACGTAATGTTACACTTATATAGCATATAAAGAAAAAAATCATTTAGCTTCCACGAATCTGAATTAATCTTTCTTTTGTTTTTCGAATAACGTTGAACAGTTCTAATGGGAATCTTCCTGGAGGAAGTCGAGGCACGGCGCAAAATTTTAAGAGGTCGAAAAACAATAACTAGACGTTACTACAGTAAGTTTATGATCTAATGAGTAGAATACGGCGCGTCGCCAAGATCGCAGTCTGAATGTTCGTTAATCATTTTTAGGAGGTACGGCTATACCAGCCTGGGCCATAGTACTTTTAAGTGGTATTGGCATGCTACTGCTGGGCGGTGGACTTTACGCGTTATTACAGAAATTTGTGGTGGATGCGACCGATACCGGAGAAAGTCATTCCTATCAACCTGCGTTGCAGCTCGAAAGTTGAATTAGTTTCTCACAAAATCCTCCAAAATATTTTCATGTATCGCTAATATTAAATAATCAATACCATAAATTATGTATACAGAATTTTGGAAACAATTTTTTGTAGAAACACAATGACATTATATTTTTATTTTATTAATCTTACGTAATTATTTTATTTTTACGGGCTTGTGCTTATATTATTCTCTTAATCTCCTAACAGGTAATATCAAATTATTGGTTATTATTGTTTCATTTTATATCAATGACCAAATGTATTTATTATTAATACATATGTTCATATCGTATTTTTAAAGCGCGAAGGAAATACGTTTGGTCGCACAATTACGCGTTGATGATATACAATTCTAATCGCTTGTCGAAGGCGGTAATTTCTTACCGTTTTATCGTCGGTTAATCATTGGTAAATGTATAATTCTCTTGAAATATGTTTAGATTATTCGAATTCACATATACATTGCATAATATATATCATTATTAAACGATATGAAAAGAGATGTCTTAGAATTCTCTACGATGATACTTATCAGGATCAAAGTATGATGTAACTACAACACGATTATTAAACTTTCGTCCCGTGAGAGTCTGTTGCGCCTTTTGACAATCAATCACGCTATTGAACTCTACGAATACCTGTAACAAAATAAAAAGGGAATAAGTAATATGTAAAGATATTTATATCAATATCAAATGTACCTTGCCACATCCAGGAACATCGACACCCTCGATGGGTCTAGGAATCTCTACGGATCGCACTACGCCGTATTTGTTACATTCTTCTTTAATATCCTCGAGAATATCCTCATACTCCTCTTCCTCCATTAATTCCTCTGGCGTGACCATATTGAGCAAACAAAGCACCTGAAAGACATTGTACGATTGTAAATCGTATCGCGAAATCGTGATTTTGAATGAAGACAAATTTCATTAGGGTCTTACTTCGGTCGCAGGTCCACTCGTGCCAACCATCGACAAACCAGGCACTTGAATTTGTACTGGAGCTTGCGCGCCTATCATTGGATTCTTAGCACCCACACTGGCACGTTGCACAATTAACTTCTTGTCACCCAGTTGCATCCCATTTAATCCAGCGATCGCTTGATCGGTCATCGAAACGTCTACATATTCACAGAACGCATATCCTTTAGAGAGACCAGTCGCGGAGTCCTTTACTAAATTGAATGCCCTCAGCTGTCCGAAGCTCATCAATAGCTCTTTCACCTGTATTATTGCAAAAAGTATTACTCTCTCACTTACATGACATGCTCTTCAGATCTAGAATAAAGTGTAGACTATGCAACTCTGATATTAATTAATCGCAAAAATTTTTATAAAGATTTTTAAATAAAAAAGATTATTGAATATAAAAAAAATGATATGTTTACGCTTTAAATCCTGTTATATAATTATATATAATCAAATTTAACATATAATTACATATAATCAAATTTTACATTTATGAAATTAAACTTAATCAGCTGAATTTTATCATTTATTAAGTTATCTTCAAAATAAGACAAAAATGTTAAAAGAATACTATAAAATGATGAATAAGATTACTATAAAATGTTCTTTTAAAGAAAAAGAGAAATAGGAAATATTAAACGAATTAATCACAAAATGTTTAACTGGATCTCCAAATAATTACAGAATGATAGAAGTTGCATCGTCCAAATGTGAGAAAAACGAAATATAAATGCATAAGTATGCTTGCATATATTAATCACTCTTTCCTCAGTGGTACCTTCTTAACAGACCACCCTCAAGTCCGACAATTTCCACTTAATTGTGCTCCAGCATCATTCCTTATACCGTTTGTTATTTCGATCTTCGTCTTGGATACTTATATTTTTTTTTAATAGTAATATATAAATGTTGAATTTACTTACATCTCCATAGACTAAGAGACTGAAAACTCAAAATTGTAGATAACAGCATGTTGCTCTCGTTAAAGAATTAATTTCTTTCTGTTGTGAAATTGATTTTACGTCTGATACGTTATGTCTAATTACTCAGCGCGATTCGATAAATTAAACAACATGCTTTTATTGATGTGAAACTATTGAATCAGAGGACGCACCATTGGCACAGGAGAACCGAGAACACATCGAGGAAGGGAGGCTACAAAATTGTCGCATAAACCCAATGTACGAAGGCATGAGAATGGTATAAGTACTTGCCTCGAGGGACTGGGCTTAGCCTCTCTCCAGGCAGTGTGGTATTTTGTCATGTTCGGTAGTAGTAGTAGTGGTAGAAGTAGTGGTAGAAGTAGTGGTAGTGGTAAGCGAATGCTTTTGATCGGCACGACCCTAAGCTAAGAAATGGGGAGAAAGGGTACTGGTATCAGTCCACAGTTTACTACACAATAACGTGACGTTCATATTCTTTTTTTTCTTCTCTTACGAATTGAAGTATAATCCATTTATTAAGAATACCGTTTATATTTAACTTCTTAACCAATGAAATCACCGTTTTTTTATTTTCTTTTTACTATTATTTTTCTTTGTATTGTCATATTTTTTTTTTTCTTTTAAGTTTTCAATGCACTGATATATTCGAAGAATCATTCATTCGCGATAACCTGTAATAAATGAGATACAAGACGAGACGTGCGGTAAAGCCTGAAAAGCCTGTAAAAAGAATAGCTGCAAAAGGAAAAGGTATTCCTGAAAAGAATATATACCGGAGAACTTGGAGCTGTTACCAGATGCACATAAAATTATGTGTTGACCCTGTAATCCCAAAAAAAGAAAGAAAAAGGAAAAAAAAAATTTCTGCTACATGTAAAGACGTTGATCTTTATGCTTTTCTTGCAGACCTAAAAAAGATCCTTTGCAACGCGTATCGTCGCTGCACGAGAGTGGACGACTCTGTAAAAGTATTTCAAATTGGAAATAGAAGTCATAAACAACTTTAAGAAGTTTCTTTTTCGTTCAAAATGTATCTCTATTTGTTCATTTTTGCATTAAACAAATTGAATCATCTATATTCTTCGGTCTGACTTTTCGGAACTCTCTTTTCCCCCCTCCCCTTTCCCTGTTGGCATTCCTAAAAAAGACTGTCTAGATTTGAGAGACTCGTATCTCCTCGTGATGGACTGGGTCCGCGATGTGCCTAGAAAGGCTGTAAGAGAGAGAAGGAAAGAGAAAGAAAAAAGGATAATCGTTGATGCGACTGCATACCCCACCTAAATGCTGTAACGCCACTAATGCTTCCTAAACTAGATGTGCCAAATTGGAAAGACGAGATGCGAGAAATGATAAGGAAGTTCCATAGAAAAACGAGAGAAGCGAATTGTCCCAGGATAAAGATAAAAAAAGACCACACAGGATCCGAATAACACATCTCTACCTAATGAGGAGCCTAACCGACGCCGAAATCTTGATGGAAACACATACATACCTCTGTTGAGCTTGAGTAAGACGTGGGTTCTCGGTCGTTTATATATTTGTGAGTGCACTCACTGCTAAATAGCTAAATACCTATATTATAATTTAGTCCTTTGAGGGTAACTTACAACAACGCAACAGAATTAGCATACGCGCGTTCCCATGCTAATCCCGTGCCGTTGCGATATCGTGATGCAATTTTTTATCGACCATTGAAACCAATTCTCTCGATAGACAAAAGTTTATACCAAGCACAATAATGTGACTCTCAGTAAATTGACGCGACTAATCGGAATAGGCGTCAATGAACAAAAACTGCATCCCAAGGTGTGCAATAAATAAAACTATTTCACAGATTTGCCGGCATACCTGTTCCTCGTTCAAATAATTTGGTAAACCACCAATGAAGATCTTGTGCGGTGAATCTGAAAGAAAGTAAAATTAAAATAAATGCGAGTTATCGTCAAGCATAGTACTTAAGCGTATTGTTGAATGTAAGAAAATGTATGTTTAAAACATACCAGGAACCGTACCTGGCACGTTCATGCTTGGATTATCGGTCATTCCCGGCATCGGTTGATAATCATGTGGCCTCCTTATTTTCAGGCTTTGTCCTTTGAAATTTATGCCATCGAACGCCATAGCCTGCGTTGTTTCGTCGATTGATCGGAACTGTATTTAAAAAAGAAAAAAATAAGAAAATGCAATTGACATTTAATTACTGATCAGTATAACTAATTGAAATACATTTTTTTAATTATTTATAAAAATAATTTAAAATGTTATAATCTGATAAATGCACGTGATAAGCTATACCTCCAAAAATGCGAAATTTTTGTCTAAATTAATTTGACACGCCAATACTGGATTTCCAGCGGCTTGTGCAAGTCCAGAGAGGTGCATTTGTTGATTAAAGAACTCCATCATTTCCTCCTCGGTGACACCAAATGGAATGTTCCCTACATAAAGTCTTCTTGCTTGGCGAGTAATAGTGCTACCAACTACAGGTACAGCTGCCTGTGGTGTATCCGCTACAATGTTTGCAGGTATTTGACCAGCAGCTTGCATAGCCTTATACTGTACAAGTAAAAAACATATAGATAACATTTTGGATATTTAAAATAACTTCCAAAGAATATATCTATAACATGGTGACAATGACACGATTGCAATAAATCTTACTTGTAAAGGAGTAATATGTTCAAAACCAGGCGGTGGTACATCCCAGTATAAAGATGGTTTTCTTCTCCTGGAACTACGACTTTTTTTCGGCGAACTACTCCGTTTTCTATCTCTGCGATCTTTGGAACGGGAACGAGATCGCTTTCTACGATCTCGACTGCGTGATCGATGCCGCCTGTCGCGATCCCTATCTCGATCTCTGTCTTTATCCCGATCTTGTCTATCACGATCTGTGAATATAGAAATAAGAATCAGAAAACAAATCATTGTTAAATGTTACATTTTACAAATATAGATAATTAATTAATTATTTATATGTTTATATTATTACGCTTATGTCAATTAAACATAATGTTTAACAATATTTACTGAAATTAATAGACAAAATATGTCTTTAAATACTAATATACTTGTTTAAGCACGGATAATTTAAATCGTGCAAATTTGTTATAACATAAACATATTAGAGAAATTTGAAGTCTAGATGATATAAAAAACAAACGGATCTTATTTCGAAAATCAATTGCTGAAACTGTTTACTAGCTCGTATCCGGCCATTACGTATTGCAAACAGATCGGTTGGGCGAGTTAACGCGGGAATATCATGGAAACAGACTGTCGGTTTGGAGCTCATTACTTAGTTAAATCACTCACCTCCGTTAAAATCTTCGCCCATTCTTGACACAATACCTCACCTAAAGAAAAACGCACAACGCCGAAATATAAGAAAATTCAGGAACGCCAATTACTCCTAGGCAAATCTCTTCTTCCAAAATGGCGTAGAAGCAAGTATACAGTCATGGTATATGAAATATCATGCGTTTGTGAGATGGCGGACGCCATTGAGAAAATTAATTTTTTATATGCCATTTTCAAGTAAGAATAAATTTTCAACAGGAAAGGCAGAAAACGTCAAAACGTTTATTTTTCAAATTTGTTATATTGCATTTTAAATACAAAAAGTACTTTATTTTAAGATCAAAAAATACATAGGAGAAATAAGTAGTGAGATTGAGTAAGCAATCGACCAATCACAGTCGAGAATTTTAAAGTAAAAAATTTTATTTTTTGTCTATTAAAATTAATAGTATTTTATAGGCTAATTGTTTAAATTTTAATCACGCGATTAGCCACGAGAAAGATTATTGACTTTTAATAATATCTTTTGGCAGGATAGTTAAATAATTTTTTAATTCTATAGTAATAACTAATCACATGATATTTGTTATAATAGGAGGAACATTCTATTAAAGGAAAAAGAAGGAAAATAGGAAAAGATATTTGATACAAAAACCATTCTCAATTACTAAAAATTAATTACAAGTTTAATTATTGAAAAATTATATACAAATATTATTTCCTCCTTGAACTTAAATTACATCAATTATATCAAATTTATTTATATTTTAACATATAAATTCTTTCATAAGATTATTAAAAGAAATCTTTATATTATTCATAAATATAACTAGTTTATGCTCACAAAAGGAAACATTTCACATCTTAACGTCTTTAAACATTACCAACATTCTGATTCTCTTGCGTAGCTGAAAATAATATTGCACATATTTTATTGCACATATGAAAGTATAGTTATGCATATTTTATTAAACATTTACCTTTATATGAATATTCCAAAGCAGTGGCTATTGTCCTCATATCTCCTTCTATACTACGTGCCCAATTTTCTGCATCTCCAATTTCTTTTAAAGAGCTTGAGAAGGATTCTACCAAATTTAACCATAATTGTGTTTGTTTGGCAAAATTGGTCGCACTATGTTGCAGTTGTTTCGCTTCTGCATCCAGCTTTTTCTGATTTAAATAAGCTTGAGCTACACTGTAACAATATTAATGATATCTTATTCTTATTACATTTACAATATCTTATTCTCATTTATAAATATTGTATGTATAAATTATATTAAATCACAAAAATTTACCCAACATTCAAGTGATCAACTAGGGCTTGTGTCAAGTTGCTAGCAGCTTGGACGGCATCTTTTCGCTTTTGCTCTATTAAAGCCCATTCAAACATATTAATAATAATAATTATCTTATAGAATATGGAATCAATTAATAAATATTTTACCTTGCCGTTCTTTCCTCACCGCTTGTTTGCTTTGATGTTCTTTCACAATCGCCGACAACATTTCTGGTGACTTGTGCCTATAATTACAATATTTTTGTACATATTAATTGTAAGTAGTTAATAAGTAGTTAATAATAATTAATTAGTTAATAATAATCTTGAATTATAATAGACATGATATATCGTTTAACTATTCATCTTATTTATCTTTGTTTTTATAACCTATAAAATTATATGAATTAACACGTACAATTAAATATAAAATTAGAATTGAGTCGAATTTTTCTTTCTTCTCCAAATGCAGATTGTCTATTATGTCTGTTTCTCTTATTTCTTAATCAGCTGTTTCCCTTTAAACTACGTTCCTCTTATTAACCATTACCAATCTCATTTTACTTGTACTTTCTGTACTTAAGTTCATCGTCCTTCTTCTCTGTTTTCAATGCCAACATCCATCTCGTTTTAGAATATCAATAATATATCTTTTTTTGTAATATAAAAAGTAAAGAGTGTGCATTAAATTGATCATTGAACATTTTCACTTTTCACGAATTTACAATAGGGAAAAAATTTTGGAGAAACATACAGAAAGTACTAGAAAGTGTAAGCAAAATAAACAGTTCAAGCGCAATAAAAATTTAATCGCAGACAACAAACAATAACAATAACATCTTTTTTTTCGGACAACATAAATTCTTGTACTGAACAAGAATTATAAAATTCTGGACATCTTTTTTTTAATTAAAATTCTTCCCCATTTGGAAAGAAAAGTAGGACAGATAAATGCAAAAAGTTTAGGGCTGAGTTCAGAGAGTGCGCTATTAGAACCAGAGAGAAGCCTGAGAGTAGACATGCCCACGATTTAGCTGTAACTTTATTTTGAAGCGCCTCTATGTCCATAAAAATCGTGGACGTTGAACTACATAACTAACGTCCTGTAGGTAATGTCCACGACATTGCATAGTTCTCATTCGTGCTATGTCCATTGATTTTATAGTATATAGTATATAGTATTTTAGTAGTAGTATATAGTATTTTATAGTTTTATTCCGTGCTATGCAGGAGTGACAGTTAGTTAAATAAAGAGGGACGATCAATCTTTCTCTCTGTCCTTGTCTCACAAAATCAAAAATGTCGTATTGATTATCTATCACAATTCTAACAAATATCATCGGTTATAGCAAACTTTTATGTTATAATTTCTTTTGCGTTTTTATTGATTTATGAGACCCTCCACCACCCCCATCAATTCACAACCGAATGTTATTTATTATATTTTGTTCTTTTTACAATTAATAGTTTGGACAGATTTACAAATTTTTAAATTATTAAATTAAATATATTCTTAAACTATTACCCTACTTACCCGAATTTTTTAATACCTACCTCCGATTGAAGATTTTATATATCCCTACTTACCCGTATTATTTTTAATTAACATTTAATTTTTATAATTACATTTAAATATGATTATATAAAATATAATTATATAAAAATATAATAATATATATAATTCTATGATAAATTTATTTAAATAAAATTAAATAAATTCATCATAGAATTATTAATTTTTAAACTATAATATTTCCTTATTTGTTTTAATTCTTTCCCACCCGAATTCTTACCCACCCGAATTTAAATACATAGAGCTATAAATAGTATTATAGTACTAATTTATAAATAGTATTACAGTACTATTTATAATGTAGACACAGAGAACACTCTATCATTCCCCTCCAATTACGTAAAAATCTTATTAAGTACTTACTTATTTTTGATTGTTTTATATATATATAAATTAGTCTTATGTGATTCTTCAGGCCAGATTGGACCTACTTTTCGTTGCACCTGGCCACGTTGCTCCATCATTGACTTGGCCACATAGTCAGAACTTCTGGTCACATACAGCCAGAGATAAGGAAGGAGATATCTCCTTCAATTATCAGCTAATTATGCCGGTAGATTCTTTATTTAACGCGCGCACAATCGTGTCGATCGCGAGGGCCATTCAATATTAATAAAATATGAAATTTGTGATAAAATCTTAAAAAATAAAATTTACTTATGGAATTTTGAAAGCTAATTTAATACCGCTATTTTCATAGCGTAATTAGTCTTTGATTTAAAATAAAGACACTCGATTACATTTGATAAAAAGAATTTAAGAAAATTGAATAATAAAAATATTGCAATAATAAAAAAAGAAAAATAAAAATAGAAACGATTATGATCTATATAATTAATATATATTCAAAGAAAAATATATTCAATGAAAAGAAAAAAAGGCCCATATGATTCGTCCGTATTATTCGCGTACGATCGAAACCGTTTATTTAAATCTCACCACATAGAGAGAATGATTTCTTTGGATTTAATAAATTTTATTAGATTCAAAGATATTAATTTTTTTAATTAGTCCAAACAAATTTTAAATAGTCCAATCAATTATTAATTCTACAAATTTGATTGTTCAATTTTTTAAATAATAAATAACTATTTCAAATAAAATATTTATTTAATAAATTGTTTGCAAAATAATAATGCGCTCTTTATTTATGCTTTAACAATATTAAAGAACTTCTTCATTGAAACAATATTTAATCTAGCTAAACAAACTATTGTTTAATTCAAAAATAATTTATTCTTAATAATGTATG